AACTGCAAAGCAGCCAGAATAGGCAAAGTAATTTTGGGGGGGAAAAAAAACAAAGTTGGAAGATTAACACTACCTAATTTCAAGACTATGAAGCTACAATAATCAAAAAAGTGTGATAATGACTGACTGTATAATATCGGAATCAAGAGAATCCAGAAATAGACATACATAGACAATCAATTCATTTTGACAAAAGTGCTAGGGAATTCACCTGGGACAAAGGTACTCACATCAACATATAGTGTTGTAACAACAGCATGTATGTATGCAAAAAAAAAAAAAAAAAAAAAAAATGAACCTGGACCCTCACCTTGCACTAAATACAAATATTAACTTGAAATAGATCAGGAACTAAATTTAAGAGTTCTATAAAACTTCTTAAAGAAAACTTATGAGAAAACATTTTGTAATCCTGGCTTAGGACAGAAGCAGGACAAACATAAAAAATATTATACATAGGGCTTCATCATAATTGAAAATGTCTGCTTTTTAAAAGATAAGAGAATGAAAAGATATGCCACATATGCAAAAATTATCTGCAAACAAATATCTGACGAAGGGATCCTATCCTCAAAACATAAAGTTCTCTTAATATAAGAGAACCCAATTTAAAAATGAATGCATTTAATTCACCAAAGAAGATAAATGAATGTCAAATAAATACATGAATGATGCTCAATATCATTAGTTATTAGAGGTGACTGATGCAAATTAAAACTAAGTATGACTACACATTTACTATAATGGCTAAAATTTCAAAAACTAATGAAACCAAATGGTGGCAAGATGTGGAGCAAGTGGGTTTATCATACATTGCTGGTGGGAACATATAATGGTATAATCACTCTGGAAAACAGTTCAGCTGTTTCTTTTAAAGTCAAACATACACTTCCATATGATCCAGAAATTCTACTCCTAGTTATTTACCCAGAAGTTAAAACATAGACCTATATCAAAACCTGTACATGAATGCTTATAGCAACTTTATTCATAACTGCCAAAACCTGTAAACAACACAAATGTCTATCAACAGGGAAAGACATAAAGAAACTACAGTTTTCAACAGAATACTATCACCTATTGTTAAAGAGGAATGAACTACTAATAAACAACAGCATGGATAAATCTCAAAAACATGTTAAGTGAAGGAAGCCAAACAAAAAAGAGTACATATCCTGTAATTCCATTTATATGACACTCCTAAAAATGCAAAAAATACAGGGGCAGAAATCACTGCCAGGGTTGGGGTGAGGGAAAGGGACTGACTGCAGAGGGAAATGAGAGAACTTTGGAGGACAACAGAAATGCTCTATATCTTGATTATAGTGGTAGTTATATGATACACTGTGTCAAAACACATCAAACATATATGATACACTTGTGTCAAACACATTTAAAAGAGTGAATTATACTATTTGTAAATTATACATTAATAAACCTAACCTTAAAAAAAGCATACAGACTTTTAAAGGCTTTTAATATATATTGTTAAATTGCTCTTCCATTAACTTAATTTCTTCTACTCCCACTGAATTTACATTCCCACTGGCATTCTACATCTCATCACCTTCAGTACAATCAGATTATTTTAGACTTTTCCAAATTGATAAGTTCTTTTAAAATGTTGCCTCACTGATTTGATCTGCATATCTCTTAGTTTTTAGTGATGGTGAACTTTTTCCATCCATTTCTTGGACAGTAGTATTCTCTGTTCCGTCTGTTCATTCCTTTTAATCACTGTTTTAAGAAAGTATTTGCTGTTTTTATTAATTTTTTAGAGCTTGCTATATATCTTCAAACATTTGTCATAAATACACTTCCTCGTTTCTCACTTGCCTTTAATTTTTTAAACACAGACATTTCAAAATTTCTCAATATTTTCTAAGATTTTTGCTTTTGTAATTTTGTTTAGAAATTTCTTTCCACATGTAAAAGTCAGTTAATTATTCATCTATATTTTTGTAATTTTTTTATAGACTCAAATTTTTTAACTTTTTAAATCTCTGCTAATACAGTGGCTACTAGCCACACGATTATTAAAATTTTAGAATTAAGCTTTTCTTCCATGTTTTCTTCTAATTTTATCATTTCAGGTCTTACGTTTAAGTCTTTAATCCATTTTGGGTTAATTTTTGTGTACAGTGTGAGGTAAGAGTCCAATTTCATTCTTTGGCATGTGGGTATCCAGCTTTCCGACCACCATTTATTGAAGAGACTATCCTTTCCTCATTGTATGTTCTTGCCTCCCTCATCAAAGATTAGTTGATCGTATGTGCCTGGGTTTATTTGAACTCTCTATTCTGTTCCATTGGTCTGTGTCTGTTTTTATACTAACAGCATACTGTTTTAATTATGCTAACACTGTTTAAAATTAGGAAGTATGATTCCTCTAGCTTCATTGTTTTTCCTAAAGTTTGCTTTAACTATTCAGGGTCTTTTGTGGTTCCATACAAATTTTAGGATTTGCTTTTTGTATTTCTATAAAATATGACACTGGAATTTTGATAGGGATTGCACTGAATATGTAGATTGCTTTGGGTAGTATGGATATTTTAACACTACTAACTCTTCTAATCAAGACAGGTCTTGACAATGATTTTTTGCACTCTATACCAAAAGCACAGGCAACAAAACCAAAACAAACAGTAAGATTACATCAAACTACAAAGATTTACACAGCAAAGAAAACCATCAATAAAATGAAAAGGCAAGCTACAGAATGAAGAAAATATTTGCAAACCATATATGATAAGGGGTTAATATTTAAAATACATAAGAACGCATGCAACTCATTAACACCACCACCACCCCCCCACTCCCACACACAAATAACTCAATTAAAAAATGGGCAAAGGACCTAAATAGACATTTTCCTAAAGAAGACATGCAAGTGGCCAACAGGTATACAAAAAGGTGCTCAACATCACTAATCATGAAGGAAATAAAAATCAAAACCACAATGAGACGTCACTTCACACCTGTTAGGGTGGCTATTATCAAAAAGACAAGAAAGTGTTGGTGAGGATATGAAGAAAGGGGAACTCTACACTGTTGGTGGGAATGTAAACTGGCAGTTATTATGGCAAATAATATGGAGTTTCTTCAAAAAATTAAAAAATAGAACTTTTATATGATCAGCAAACTCATTTCTGAAGATATAACAAAAAGGCAAAGAAACTAACATCTTGAAGAGAGATCTGCACTCTCATGTTACTGTATCATTCTTTACACAATAGCCAAGGTAAATAAAGAACTTTAGTGTCCACTGATGGATAAGGAAAGAAAATGGTGCATACATATGCAGTGGAATATTATTCAGCCATAAAAAATAAATATGTCATTTGCGACAACAGAAATGAACCCAGAGGATATTATGCTAAGTGAAATATGCCAGACACAGAAAGAAAACTACTGTGTGATCTCACTCATAGGTGACATGTGAAAAATTGAAACCTCTATAGGTTTCAGAGAGCAGAATAGTGGTTGCCAGAGTTATGGGGTGGAAGAAATGGGAAGATGTTGGTCAAAGGCTAGAGATGTTTAGTTAGAAGATGAATAAGTTCTGGGGATGTAATGTACAGCATGGTGACTATTGTTAATAATGCTGTATACTTCAAATTTGCTAAAAAAGTAAGTCTTAAGTGTTCTCACCACAAACCAAAACAGAAAAAAAGGTTAATTATATAAGGCAATGAATATATTAACTTGATTATGTAATCACTTAAGATTTTTAAGAGTTTTTAAATTTAATTTTGGTAAATTTGGAGCAATTTATGTAAAACTGAATGAAAAGTACAATGAGTTCTCATATACCCACTCTTCACCCCACCCCCAAATATAGCCTCCTCTACTATCGACATCCCACATCACAGTTACAATGGATGAATCTACATTGACAGACCATTATCACCTAAAGTCTACAGTTTACATTAGAGTTCACTCTTGGTGTTATACATTCTATGGGTTTTGACAAATGTATAATGACGTGTACCCACTCTTATCACAGAGAACAGTCTCATTTACCTAAAAATCCCCGTGCTCTATTTATCCTTCCCACCCCTCTAGCCCTTGGCTCACTGATCTTTTTAATGTCTCCATCGTTTTGCCTTTTCTAAAATGTTATATAGTTGGAATTGTACAGATTTTCCTTTAGTAATATGGATTATTTAAGGCTCCTCCATGTCTTGTTCATTTATTTTTAACAATGAGTAATATTGCCGTCTGGATATATCATGGTTTATTTATCTATTCACCTATTAAAGGACATCTTGGTTGCTTCAAGTTTTGGTAATTACAAAGAAAACTGCTATAAACATCTATGTGTAGGTTTTTGTACGGATATAAGTTTTCATTCTTTGGGTAAGAACCAAGGAGTTTAACTGCTATGTAAAAAATATATTGTTTTATAAAAAAATCACCAAACTGTCTTCCCCAGAGGTCACACCATTTTAAATTCCCAGCAGCAATAAATAAGAGTTCCTGTTGCTCCATATTGTCGCCAGCATTCGGTATGCACTACTCACATTTTAAATGCTTAATGGTCACATGTAGCTAATGACTACCTACTGAACAGTATCATACAGAATATTTCCACCATTGCAGAAAGTTCTATTGGAAATGCTGCTCTGTTTAAAACTTAATTTTTTATATAGAAGAGGAGCTAATGTGACAGCTTTTTATTTTTTTCTCTGCATAAATCCATGTCTTCTACTGGATTGTGATGGTTGTTTATATTTGCTCAGAAGTTCAAAGTCCTGTTCAGCCACTTCTTAACCACATGCCCATTAAGAAATCATTTAACCCCTGAGTCTCAATTTCCTCATGCTAATTACTTATTAGTTTAGTGTATTAAATTAGATAAACAAGGTAAGATAAATTACAACATTCATCATGTTAAGTCCTCATTTGTAAACTCTTCTGGGTTAGGAGTTTATTTTTTGAATGTCTTAGTATGGTACTTTGAGGACCCTTACTGAAAGCAAGCTTAGTATCATATTTACCCGATCTGGATTTTTGTAACCCAAAAGTAGATTTGCTGCCTTTATATCACCGTGAACATATTCATTTTCATGTATATATTCCAGTACATCCAACTGTAAAAAGAAATACATAGGTTATACTGATGTCTAGAACTCATGATCAATTTGAACATTCTGAATAGAGAATAACATGTAAATGTTTTTGTATTAACAACAAAATGACATGTTTCATAATTATTTATCTGCTATAAAACATCACACATCCCGATTACTCATTCTGGGAGAAAGTTGAATAAAATGACCCTCAAATATCAAATGTTTTAATTAAGCCTCTGATGGAAGGAAACCAGGATTCATCAATGCCTTTTGTCTGTTCCTGGTAGCCTGGAGGCCAAACCACACTGTGCAAAGAGGGGACACAAAATCAAAGATCTAAGTGAAGCCCACTCGGTAATTCCTCATCCAAGGAATAATTATAGATCAAGTTTTGGAGACCTCCAAAATAAAACACCCTGTCCATGAGCACAGGTATTCTCTCTATATATAATAATAGAAAACAACACAGCGTCATCTCTGAAGCCCTTGAGCCTTGCCACCTACACCTAGTGCTCAATAAACATTTGCTGGATGGCTAGATGGATGAATGGACAAATGGGAAAATTAGTGAGTTCTATTTGCCACATACCAACCTGGCATGAATAGTTTCTATTTGAAATGGAAAAAATAAAATGGAGCTTAGACAAACCAAACACAAACAAGATAAGACAAATATGTAATATAAACAAAATGTGTGCATGGGTGCTATTAAGATTTCATTGCTTCTTATTTGGCAAAGTATATATTATTCATTGCCACACTAATTACTGCCACCATCCCAAACTCATAATAAAAACTTTATAGCACCCCCATATCATCATGTGTTTAGTATGGAAAATAATATAATTTGCTATAGTTTGCATTGTTATAAATATAACTGACAAAATAGATGTTACTCTTATAGCAATGCAAGCTTGTTCCGATATGTAAAACAAAGCTGTGCGGAAAAAAATCAGACTGTAGAACCAATGCCTAATTGAGGTTGGAGTGCCAAACACAGCACATTCTGTCACTTACAGAGCCCACTGTTATCAATTTCACCAAAATAGCCTCTACTCTCAATAACTGACATTTCCAGGGCAATAATCCTTCATTTTTCTGATAATTCCACAAAGGGCAGTGATTTGTATATTGTAACAGGTAAATAATCTGAAAATAGAGCATGTGAATCAAATCATTCCTTCTTACCATTCGAATACCTAGCTGCAGGACGGTTGACTTCTTAAAAGTACCATTCTGGTCAGAGATCTTCTGTAAATCTATTCCTAGTCTTTCCATTACCATAAATCTGTAACTATAAGAAGGAGATATCAAAGAGATCTTAGATAGCAATACTTGAAACTTTCTATCTATGATTGAAACAAGGAAAAATATCCCCAAACTAACGATAAAAAATGATCCAATCTAAACCATCAGAGAATGAATGTACATTAACTATTCCGGTGTTCCTTTATAGAAAGATATTACTCAATATTTACTTTGCAGTTAGTTTTCTAGTAGAAGAGAATGCTGTGCTGAACCACTCACACTATCTTAGATCATAAAGAGAAAATAGTCTCTCTATACTAAATTGTCCTAAATTTAGTTCATTTTGACTCTATCCCCTTCTTGCCACATGGCCTTGAACAAATTATTTGTCCATACAATTTTATATTAGTTTTTGACCTTTTAAAATCATATTTACTGTCTCTATACATTTACAAACATGGCTTTTTTTTAAAAAAATGCACTTTTTCCTTTTCTTTTGTTTGGCACCTCCACCCCTTCTTTTCTTCCCTTCACTTCCATACCCACATCAGCCCCCATTCGATATCTAAGTATACACACAGAAACACAGACACCTAGGAAATTTTGTCTTTGTTTTACAAAAATATGATCCTATGCACTTTTCTGCAGCATATTTTTTTTCAATAATATCTCGCTGAAATCCTTCCAAGTCAATTGGTATGGCTCTGATTTACTTAATGGGCTGTATAATATCACATGATATGGATGTACCATGACTTACTTAGCCATGCAGTGCCCTGCTGGTAGCCCTTTACTTTATTACAAGATTATTGTTTGTTATTTTTGTTTTTCTTTGTAGCATTTAAAGACCATTTGAGCAAAGCACTGACTCCTAAGCCTATTTGCTCACCGAAACGCGCGCGCGCACACACACACTCATACACCATCCATCCTAAAAGACTCTCTTAAAAGGACAAAATGAGCACCTAGCAAATGACAAATTTTTTAAAAATAAAAATCACTATTAATGAATTATGATAATTAGCCATATTTGGTGATTTTAAAAATATTTCTACAAATTCTGTGTTTTGCCTCTCCTCAAGAGATAGAAGTTAATTAATTCTGAGTGTGGGGTAGTCTTAGTCAAAGAAAATACAGTAGAAATGGGGAATCGCTTCTAAGATTAGATTATAAGACTGTGACTTTCTTTGTGGATGCATGCTCTTGTGTGTTTTCTTTCTTCCTCTTTCAATTACTTGCTCTAGGGGAAATCAGCTGCCATATCTTTATAATATTCAGGCAGCCTATGGAGAGACTTGCATGTTGAGGATATGAGGCCTGCCAACAGTCACGAGTGAATTCAAAAGCAGGTCTGCCAATAGTCACATAAGTGATCTTGAAAGCAGATCCTTCCCAGCCTTACCTTGAGATGATAACATCCTCATAAGAAGTCATGAGCTAGAACTATACAGGTAAGCCAGTTATACATACCTGACCCATGGAAACTAAGATAATATTAATTTATTGTTATAAGCCAATACGTTTTGGGTAATGTTACATACAGCAACAGATAATAGACCACATAAGAAATAATAATAGGACAATATCTGATTATAATAATTCCGTTTACCTTCTTCCTTCGAATTCAGTAAGACCAGATCCATAAAACAGAGGAATTCCTAAATAATCAAGTTGTTTTAGATCTATCCATTTTTTGACTGCAAAGATAAATTTAATAGAAAAAAAGATTCATGTGTTTTAGAAAGGTATTTCTTACTTTTACATTGATGTTAAAACTTTATTTAACCTAAATAGAAATTAGATGTTCATAAAATGTTTTTTAAAATTAAATATACTCATCTAATGGCTTCAAACTTTATCAGTATAATTAACACAAAAGCATATACCAAAGTTTTAAATTAAATCAATTACAACCAAACCAAAAGTAGTCATAGTCATAAAATGCATTGGTATCATATACACAAATGTTTCTATTCATGAAAAAAAAGTTCAGTTTTTAAATATAACATGTTAACCACCAAAGGATCGGTAAAGGGATGGCTTTTTCTTCCCTATTACTTAAAAATCTAAAGCTATAGTAGTTGAAAAAATGGAAATTGGGCATAAAAACCATCTTACTCTGAAGCTATGTTATACAGAAATTGTTTTGATTTAGTTTTAGGGAAATCAAATCCACTTAAAACAATCAGTTAGCTTATTTAATTTTTGACTTTTCTACCATGTATGTTTAATGTTTAAGACAGCCTTACTGATAAACAATCAGGTTTAATGGATTCTATTTGTCACACTGACATAATTTAAGCAGTTAGTAAAGACTACAGTCTTAATGTTTAGATGGTTTTATTAAGGAAAAGAAAGTTAATTATTGAGACTAGACTCATCATTCTTTTCCCTAAACATAATGTAAAGAACCTTGACTATAAAATCATTATTCAAACCAACTTCCCTAAAGTTTTACTTAGTTCATCTATATCTTATAGTCTTTATTAAATGCTTTTATTCTTCATCTCTACTCATATTCATCTCACTTTCAAATCCTCTAACTGGTAGTTCTGACATCTGATATCTAGCTCCAATTAATTTCCCAACATTCAAGTTTTTAATATTTTCAACTTATTTTCTAAATCGGGTTAAGTTCAATCATTTCCATACACCTTAACCTAATCCATTCTAAAATCATTCCTTTTATTTACATACACCTACCACCCATTTTAATTACTTTTCCTTACATCCTTTCTATCCTAATGGTTTCTTTGTAGAAAACAAAATTTCTTTTCTACTATCTTATATACGTAGAGAACTCTTGGTAGCTTAGATGAATAACACAACAATTTAGGTAAAGTAGCAGAAACAATTTTTACTTGAAATATATAACCCATTATGTACGTAATATCAAGATTTTACACCAGCTGCCTTTTTTATGTTATAACAGTTAAATATATCATGTTACAACATTTCTAATTGAAAAGAATTTTCCAGAAGGCCAGAAAAAGACAAAAATTTTAACGCTCATTTTAGCAAGCATATATATGGGAAGTAGCTTGCTTTGCTAATTTTACTTACTACAGTCTTTTTTTGCAGCTCTTTGATAAAATTTAAGTTCTGAAAATAATGGGCCATTTTCTTGATATTCCTATAAAAGAACAATTAATTGTATCAGGAAAAATAATCTTAAAGATGAAATTGGTATTTCAATTGTGAAATATGAGTATATGCAATATATAATAGTACTTGAATCATTCGTTATAAAACACAAGCACAAAATTTCCACTAAAACTCTCATAAAAAGCACTAAATAAACTCATTTTAAATAATTTAAAATAATCTCGTTTTAAAATTTAACACATTGTAATGCTATTTCTATACAGTCTTACACACAAAAATAGTCTTCTTGCGGAAAGAACAGCACTGAGAATTGTACACATATACATACAGTCAATGTGTATCAATATGACCATCAGGGTGAGTACACTGCAAACTACCCAAGTGGTTCATTCTACGAGATACCTTTACTGAGTCTCTACTATACTGCATTCATTGTAGTAGGCACAGGGGATACAAACAAAAATAAAACTCATTCCTGCCTTTAAAGACCTTACCATCTAGAGGAAGAGAGAGAGAGGGAGAAGATGGCTAGATGAAATACAAGGATTATAAATGTTAATAGAGAAGGATAAAGTTCTCCAGCTGTTACATTTTAATACTGTGAAATTATAACATTAGGTTTAATGTTAAGTAAAATTATGAAAACTATGATGAGAAACATTTTTATAAAAACAAAATGAATGAAGCAGAAAAAAGTCATATATACATGAAATACAAATTTAAGAGCAAACTTACCACTTTTATTACATGTCTTGCATCTTTATCTGGTTTATTTGTGGGGAAAGCTACACAACAAAACATATTGGGGGAAAATTAGTTGTCGTCAATTACTGAATACCTACTATAGCCCAGACACTAAGCATTTCAAATATATTAATTATATCCTCCCAGGAACCTCTTATAGTAGATATTATCTCCATTTTACAAAAGATCCGACTAAAGTTTGACAAGTTGAATAATTTACTAAGAAGCAGCAGACTGGGGAGTGAATCTCAAATCTGTCTAACACCACACCCTACATTCTTTACCATAAACCATATTCAAATAGTCAAAGATGTAAGACCAATAATTATTAATTATATAGATCTAAATGCAGGAGAAAGTATTTTCTAAATATTTAGCATTAAAGCCAATAAATAACACATAGTAAAATCCATTGACTCAATTTTGTTAAATTAAAATCTATAATAATTCAGAAATGAAAATTGATTCTTTTTAAGTAGAAAGTTCAAGACAATTTTTACTTGACAAAATTCTAAAATAAATCAAGTTAGAACATGAACAGTCTTAAAAATTATCTTCTGAGCCTAGCAATTATTCCTGCATTAAAGAATATATATCTCATAATATAAGCTCATTTCAATTTCAAATTATCTTACTTCATTTTACTATTTACCATTTGCATTTTAGATATAGTAATCCAACTTCTGTAAATTACACTGTTAAATTTTTAGACCGAATCAATCCTGTCCTCTACATTAATTATTAAAAGATTCTTGTTTTCAAATCTTGATAAGAGAAGTTGACGTGTATATTTATTTGCATTGTGAAGTCCAGAATTTTGTTATTCATCTATTCATGCTACACCAATTTATCCCTTCATTCATTCAACTAAGCAATATTTATTAAGAGGCTAGAATATGCAAGGCACTGTGGTAAGCATTAGGATGACCTTTAAAGAACTAGAAGGGAAAATGGTAGAAGTAATATTGAATAAAACTGAAATCAGCATTTAACAAATTGAGAACAAAATTAAATTCTTCAGGTCCACTTTCAGTATATTTATCAAAATGTTGTGTCCTCTTATCACTACTCCTAATATTTTTCTTTTTCCTAACTCCATCGATAAACTGTTTTCTCTATTTCTTCACATGATAGATGTAAAATGGATATCAAAACTTTACTAAGGTACATAAACTGTTCTTTACAGTTGTGCGCATACACAATTTTCTTACCCCAGTCTTAATACAGAAGAAAAGGTGAGAAGAGCCTTTCCTCCCACCCTATGGCAAACTATTTTTACTAGGATGATACCCAAGACTGGGGAGGAATAGTCCTTCATAAATATGGTCTAGCTGGTACAGCACCGACTCTACAGTACCAATCTTTGCTGCCTGAGGTATAAGTTGGTAGAAACTTCCTGCTTTTTGTCTAAAAGCAAGTAACCACAGCAGCAAATAAAACTTTAAGCCAAACAGAATGTAAGAAGCAGAAAAGCACAAAAGGAAAATGGAGATTTCAACTAGATAAATAACTTATTATGTTGCCACTGGGGAAAAAAGATATCCAACCAATGCAAAGTTGTACTCCTTGCTGATTTCAATCAGTATATCCCTACCACTTAATAATCTGAAGGTTCCTTTCATATTATTTCACATGAACATAATCATGTGTTGACATATACTTGAAATACCCCACACTTGTCATTTGATAGCTACACAATGTTCTCTATAAAGTTCAAAGTCAGATTATATTGGAAAGCCTAAATCCAAAATCAATTGACTAGAAAGCTTTTGGAGATGGATGTTAAACAAATAAATTGTCCTAGTTACCATGGAGGTCTCTTTACAGTAATCAATCAGCTAATTAATGAAACAAATATTTATTTTCTACTGTAAGCCAAGTCATTCTAGCTGGTGAAATTAAATGATGAAAACAGACATGGTATCTGCTTTTACAGTCTAGTGGAGAAATCAGACATTCATCAAATACTTACACACAAGTGTAAAACTGTAATTACAATAAATGTTAAAGAGAGAGGTAGATGGTGCTATGAGAATGTAGAATTCATTTAAAAGGGAATGCTTGAGCGAGACTAGCTGGAGAGGTGGTGGAGGGCCAGATGCAAATCTAGTTAATAATTTCTAACAAAAGGTTTTAAAAACTTGAGATATATTTAGAAGATAGGAAACACATAATTAGATTCGCGTTCTGAACAGATTACTATAATGTGGCAAACAGACTGAAGGGGAACCACAGTAGATATTGACAGATAAATAAGAATTTAATTTTGATAGATCAAGGAAGAGAGGACTGTAGTGTGGACTACAGTATCGATAGTAAAGTAAAATGAACAGATTCCAGAGGTTTCAGAAACTGATAGGACTTAACGATGGAGGGAAAGGGATATAGTATGGTAGATTATAGCTGATTGATCTATTGGGGCATGAGAAGAATGATCACCGAAAGTGATAGTGTTGGAAGTACAGTAGTCGCATATCTTCACTTAAATTTCTGAAGAGAGGTCTGATGACCTGGTAAGAAACATATTGTGCACATATATGATATCTGCACTACTAGCATTTCTTTACTATTTATTAGGAACTTCCTTGGAGGAACCAAATGTCTCACTATCCATGTGGACCTGGTAGGGCTGCCTATCACAGTGTACCCTCCCTTACATTCCAGAGTTGAGCATATGAACAAGCCTGACTAATGGGATTATATAAGCCAACTGGCCACAGTAACCAGTTCAGAAATGGCAAAGTGCCCCATGGGTCAAAAAGTCTTTCCTAGGATTTGATGTGAAAATGCTAAATAATACAAGATACACCATAAGTGGTAAGGACACCAAAAACCTCAAAACAGTAATGATCATTTCTCCCTAGCTAAATAAAAATGAAGTCCGAAAATCAAATCCAACACTGAAGAAAGTAAGGTTAAGGCAGAAAAAGAGAAAGAGCCTTAGTGACATTGGTTCGGCTCTAAATCTATCCATACTCAAAGCCAGAAAAGCCCTGTACTTATCAGTTATAGGAGTTTATAAACCCCCCTTTTGCTTAAATTCATTTGCATCTCTAACAATGGCAATCAAAGACTTATATAGAAGGCGACTGGAAAAACTAAAACATGATGGAGTCATGTAGAGTGTCAATAGACTAGCGCGCTAGATAAACCAAAATCCTTCCTCTATCAAATAAACAGCGTGCTGAATAAATCAAATTTTATAAATGCAGAGGTGATTTGATACTAAAAAAAAAACAAAAAACAAAAACAAAGGTAGCCAAAGACAAAGAGAAATCTAAAGACCAGAGGGAGATGTACATGAGCACTGATGTTCCAGGCCATGCTGCAGACTCAAAAAAGGCTGCCAAGTCTGGGTACCCAAGGATATGAGTGTTAAAATCCTCCTGAGAAAAGGACAAGTCCTTGGGCCTGCAAAAGGCAGAAATCTGAAGTTAAGGTGGCCACATAAAGTCAGAATTTTCAAAGTGCCACATCTTCAGCAGTATGGAGCATTAAAATGATAGGAAGATGGGGGAGGAGGAGAAAGAATGAGAGAAAGAGAGAAAATGAATATGGATGAATAAATGAATGAATCCATCACTACTAAACACAGAAAGAAGTTAAAAGAAAAATAAAAACTTGTCTTGGCCTAGACCTTGAGTGTTAGAAAAAGGAGACTGTCTCCTGATAATTATCCCAAGCTGCTTTCAGGAATTTATACTCAAATTTACACCACAGCATGGTGCAGGAACTCAAAACCAGTAACTCAGAGAACCTGGCAGAGGCACAAAAAAAAAAAAGGGAAAAAAAAGAAAAAAAAAAGATCTCCTTTAAGGAACACATTGGACACACAGGATTACCAAAGATAAAGCATAGCTAAAGATAAGTTAATAATCCACAATCACAAAACAGGAGGAAACAAACAAAAAGCATAAACCCCAAGAAGCTTAGACCTCCCATATAGATTGAATATGCACTTATAATAACAGAAACAAAGGTATCAATAACATAAGAAATAATGCAAAATGCTATATGAAGACAGGTGAACGAATTGGTTGTAATTTGAAAAGCATCAGAGATCTAAGAGATAGTTACCAAGAACAGGGAATACATTAGAACTCCAAGAGGAAATCTGGGAGTAAGTGTGAATTTGCGATAGCCAAATATTGGAAACTACCCAAATACCTATCTTTGGTAGAATGTTTAACAAATTGTATTAAAGTCATAGTATGAAATACATTGCAGCAAAGAAAATGAATGAAATGCAAATACTGCAGCAATATAGATTATCTTAAAGACATGCTGTGCACTGAAAGAAACCGCATAAAACAGAATGCATATTTGGTTCTATTTATATAAATTTTAAAACCCAAACCCACGTATTAATTTGTTTAGGGATGCATATATACATACAGCAACTATAATGAAAGACAGTAAAATAAAAACTGTAAATAGTCTAGATAGTGTTGTTACTACTACAAGAGAGGGAAAAGTGTTAGAGCTTCTGTAGTTTTGGTTATTATATGATATAGGATATACTTGACTCGAATGGGGATTGTGTTTTGGTTATACTTTTGGTTATACTTTTTTGATAAACTATGTTTATGTTGTATGTACGTTCCTATATATAAATATATGTAACACATACATAATATTTAAAACCTAGTAAGTAGACAAAATGATAGATTAAATTGAGCCAGAAAGAGAACTAGTGAACCGGACTGGATCTGAGGAAATAATACAGAATTCAGCAAACACAGATCAAGAGACATAAAATGCAAAGAAGAGATTATGAAACACCAATAGGTGACAGACAAGCTTGGACAATCACAAAAGTTTCATAGACAATTAGGAGTTTGGGAGGGGCTGACTGATGAAGATCATTGTCTATAGACCAGTGTCAGGTCTGGGAGAGGTGGCTATTTTATCTAACATTCAGAAACCAACAGAGTCAAATGAAGAAAGAATGCAATATGTTCCAAACAAAAGAAGAAGATAAACCTTCAGAAAAAGATCATGAAAAAGAGAAAAGTGATTTCAATTATAATGATAGTTTATT